TTAAGCGGACGAGTGGTATCACAACGAAAAGGCGCGGGCAAACTCGAGGAAGATGATGAAGATGACGAGGATGAATTGCTAGAGAGCATCCCATTCGCCTGCCTCATCTGCAAGAAACCCTATCAAGAACCTATCATCACCAAATGTGGGCACTATTTCTGTGAAGCCTGTGCCCTACAGCGGTACCGGAAGACCCCGTCGTGTGCTGCCTGTGGCGAGGGAACTGGGGGTGTCTTCAACGTTGCAAAGAAGTTGAATAATTTGCTGAACAAGAAGCGGGAACGTGCGCGCAAGATTCGAGAGGAGGCGATTGCAAATGGGGAGGAGGTTAGCGATGAAGAAGGTGATGATAGTGATTAGCCGAATCTCCATGTAGTATAATATAGACACAAAAAGCAGCTGGACTGCAACTTTTGTCCTCTGGCAATGTATCAAAACTTCTCTGTTTTACTGTTGATTATCTCTATTGATTTACCTTGACATTGGTGCTTCACATACATTTATAACGTAGACGGCCCCGGGCTCCGGAGGTGATTCAATTATAAATCAGTTGATCTTTAAAATACGTAATATACAAAAGAATATAACCTTTTTTGGGGGGAGCCTAGTAATATTTTGTAGCAATGGGTGTCGAGATACTATTGGTACAGTTTTAGGAAACATGCACTTCCCGATATATATATATCTACAACTCACGTATTTAATTCAAATTTGGCGTATGGCGGCTATGCCATTGTGCACATACTGTTCTCCGGCAACCATTTCTTGATAATTACCGTGTGATTAGGAACGTTATCTTGCATAAGTGTCGATTCTGGATGATGAATGTAAGGAATTGCCGTCTCCAAGATACCTCGCTAAAATATTGAACGTGGGTGTGGGATTAGGCAAATACTTTATTCTCGAGATGTACTTCATCCCATATACTAGTTTAGGCTCCTGTGCCCATTTACCAATTATGGAGAAATCGATGTATGTTGTACGGAGCATAACTACATAACAATACGATAGTCCAAGCCAATACTGGAGGTACGTCATCCCCGAGAGATCACCGAGATCGTCACTATCCAAAGAGCCATGAAATAATACATGTGTCGACCACGTGGCACGATTGCAATCATTGTAATCGATAATTCCATTGCCATCAAGGACGACAAAGTATATTGTGTAAAAGGCAACGTTATTCCAATTCAAAATTGTTGAGATGACACGATAATAAAAGCGCCCGGGCCTGTAGAATGTCTCGCTTGATTGCTCCCCGCTTGAGTAAGTTAGGACTCGCTTCCGGCCCAAGTGTGAAATGTAAATTGGCCCCATTATAGCGCAACGCGATGATCGCATTATACCCTCAGGGGATTAAAATATTTTCCTTTATGATATCTATTGCACATTGTAATGTCGAACCTCTGATCTCATCCATGTATGTGCCTCGAGACCTTACAATGCAATGCCGCTGATCGGCCAGGATGTGGGCCTGATTCTGCCAGAACCACACGCCGCAATCAAACAACCCACATGTTAGGACCCCGAACTTTTCAAAGGCCCGTGTAAGGGGCGTGGAGTGTTTTATCCTAAGTACGAAGTAGGCTGTGTATCGATAAAAGGGTTTAACGCAGCCGACCAACCTTCCAAGGTTGGAAGGCTCCAGCGCCATTTCAACCAATGACGCCCCACCGTGATACGAGTTTACCAAAAGTCTGGTGGGCCACGTACAATCACGACAGGATCCCAAACTACTTTGTAACGCCACGTGCATTCCATGGTACGGGCGATAAAAAACACGCGTGTCGCCTCGATGGATTCCAGAGAGTCTTTGCGACAGGTTGAATGTTGCCTACGTCAGCCTATGTACAATTTCGTGCTGGGGTCATTCCTTTAACGTTAAGCCTGCCCGTCCATGGCTCAAGAGTAAAATCTACGCTTAAAAGGGTAAGCGTACCCCAGAGCCAAGCTTTGTCACACCTTAGAACCATCGAAGGGTCCAAAACCAAAACCCAAACACTCCTTGGCATCGAACTAGTAAATGTAGGTTATACTATACAAAGTACTAAATTTCTATAGTAAATAATATACACGAGTAAGCTTGTGTAAGAGTAGAAATTCATGCAAGTAATAAATCACGTGGTTGTATTCTAATACCTCACCATACGGTAATTAACCGTTCTTACCTTTTTTTAGCGTTGAACATGTTATCTATAATATGGTATTCAAATGTAATGGTATAACAGTGGCCGCGTATCTGAATTCAATACCAATGGTGGAGGTACTAGTATGGTACCGCAATATGGCTACAGATTCACCCCCCACCCCCTGTTTAAAGACGGCTCCCCTGAACTAACGCCTCATGTGGCCAATAATGATATGAGCATGACATCCTAAAGTTTGGGGTTGCGAGTCCACTATGAGAGAAGCTCTTCTCTTTTATTTTACTTTATTCCCAGTACAAATTTTCCTTGCCCTAGTTTCCTCCTCTCCTTCCATTGTGATCTCGACCTTCCACTGCGCCTTCATTTTGTACTATTTTGCTTTTCTCAAACTTGTTATTAGGGCTCTTGCTACTTTCGATCAAACTTGCCCTTCGATTTCGCATCATCATTATACATCGGAAGCAGTATAGATCAATGGCTTATTGGTGAAACCTCTACCTTGAATTCACACCTACGGGTACCTCTCCACAAAGTCCCCCCGGAGATCTCTCTCACTCATTATTCATAATGAAGGGTGGATTCCGTATCGCAGGGTTCTGCGTCTTGTGTCTGGTTTTATTCTCATTATATCTACTCGAGGCGCATCTACAAGACATTTGCGATCAATATGGCGCCGGGTCATATGTGATTAATTGGCTAGATCGCAATGGCACCGCCCCAAGCCCACACAGCGAGATCATACCGGGTGATAAGGTGATTGTTATGGCCAAGCTGGAAGAAGAGCCTACCGAATGGGTGGAGGATGAGCTTCCTGAGTGAGTGTTTTTTTCTCATCTCCAACACTCCCAACACGCACGGCTGATTGGGTTTCTTTGTCTCTAAACAGCTGGCAACGGGCGATTTACACAGTCAACCCCTCGCCCGAGACACGACTAAACGGCAGCACTCTTATGACCCCATTGAACAAAGGCCACGAGTCTATGGCCTACTTCACGTATATAATTGATAACTACGACAATCTTCCTTCGACCGTCGTCTTTCTCCACGCTCACCGCGCAGGCTTTCTTATGGCTTGGCACGTTGATGCGCCGCTCCATGACAACGTCATAGCCATGCGCAATTTAAAACTTGATTTCGTCCAGCAGAATGGCTATGTGAATCTTCGCTGCAATTGGAATCCGGGCTGCAAGAGCGCCCACCGCTTCAATAGTCATGTCACCGACGAGATATGGGCAGACGTCTTCGATGGCACGAGTACGCCTCCCTTGAATATTTCCTCGCCCACGGATCAGGAGGTTCCGGGCCAGAATTATATTCGCAAACCGGCCCAGATTGGCGCTGCATGCTGCGCGCAATTCGCTATCTCGCGAGATCAGATTCGCAAGCGTCCGTTGGAGGATTATGTCAAGTTCCGGCAATGGATTATCGATACGGAACTTGGCGACGCTTCGTCAGGGAGGGTTATGGAGTTCTTGTGGCATATCATTTTTGGCATGAAAGGGGTATAGTAAGTTATGGTCGATCACATTTCGTTGTAATGTTGAACTAATCGTCTTTTACAGTTGTCCCGATGAACAAGTGTGCTATTGTCAAGTTTACGGGCAGTGTTGAATGCGTGCTCTCGGCTTGAGTATTCATTGCCAAATCCAGCGACACCCCTAGGCTGGCATTTACATAACGTGGGACACGTGGCGTTACAATTTCGCCTCACATACATTTTCGTCATTATGCACAAATTATTTTTGCGACAGTACAAACACCCAACAGTACAAACCTGCCCAGTTGAAATCCGATCATCCATTTTGTTGCGTTAGAGTTTCCAGGGGCGCTTTTTATTATACATTCATTGCGTTCAAGCGCGCTGAGGACAAAGTTCCTCGTGAACATATTTTATCATTCTTATTGATGGACTTCTGGATAATCAGAGTACACGAAATTTATATTCTTACCACACATCTCAGCATTCACATTTTTACATGTTCGACCTCTATCAAACGTGACTCTGTGCTCTAATAATATTCAGGTGGCCAAAGCATCTCATCATTCACGTCATTCAGGCTTGGGATTTATTGATTCTATCAACAAGCTCCTATAATATCAAGACAGGTGCTAATTACAGGAGACAGTCCGCATGCGCTGCTTCAAGAGACCCATCAACCTATTACACGTCATCAAGACACGCAATAACGTCGATTTATCTATTAGGCCTGACTACCCCCAATCCTACTCTCGTGCTGGGTCTACGCCAGAGATCCCATACGCATCATCCAAAAAGCCTGCTGCTCCGTGCACATCGAAAGGTGGTTCCACTCAGAGAACTGATGCAGCTAGAGATACATAATTAGCAGCACTAAGAAGCGCAGTCAATTGATTGTATTGCAAGCTAACAGAGAACCGGAGGAAGAGAAAGAACAAAGAGCGAGAGAAGGAAGAAGCCTTCTTTCCACAAAAGAACAGTAGGACCTAGCCCGAAGAATCACCAGCAAACGGCGCGAACATTTATCCAACCCAGTCTCAGCCACATGGTACTAGCTTAAACCACCCACATTCCTTTTAATAAGCATGAAATGTTCACCGCAAGGGTAAAATGAAAGAATGTCTAACAATATGATTGTCTCAGAAAGGAATTCCTATTGGGCCTAAGAAGGAGAAGGACCAGGGTACTGCATCTAGTCCAGACTGAAAGGCTGACATATAGAAGCTTGAAATCTTGGAAAGTCTTGTTTAAACCTCTCATATCACATTATTACAATAGTAGACTTGTACAGTCTTCTTTACCTCCCTTTTACATGGTCAAAACATACAAAACATCTCGATATCTTTCTGGTTACACCAACACGCCCAAGACAGATGCTAATTACTAGACAGTCCGAATGCACTGCCTCGTATATTCACCCACCCTCTGCACTCACTAAGACAAGCAAAAACGCCAACATACCCATCAGGCCTGACCACCACCAATGTGCCCTGTGCTGAGTCTACACCATAGGTAGTATATGCATCACCTAAAGCTGACCCATCATAGAAGCGCATCTCAGTTTGTTGTTTCACACATGTCGGCACGTCGTTCCACTCAAAGGACCGATGCAGCTGGGGATGCAGAATAATCTGCTCAATAGTCGACTTGGGGAACTGTGCTTCTAGCAAGGTGACTGCCTCCAGTGCTTGTACAGAGACACTGTTTCGATCAAGAAGGTCCCCAGACTCTCCTTCCAGCCACAGCCCCATACACTGCCGGACGACCGAATGCGCCCCATCAGCACCAATAAGATGCTTCGTGCGAACTGTCTTCTCAAAACCATCCGTAGACAGAGTCACAAGCACCGGGAACTCAAAATTTCCCTCTTCGTCAATCTTGACATCTACAACCTTCGTGTTCCGTACAATCCCTCGCTCAGAGTACCGCAGTAGATCGGTCTCCATGATGCGCTCGATCCGTCCCTGGGAATAAAGAAATGACAAGTAAGAATGAGTCCACACCATCTAGGTATTGTAGACTCTTTACCAGGCCCTACCGGGAGCTATCTTTCTCGCCAGTTGGGTATTGGTATTTCCAGATGTGACTTGTAAGCTCGGTCATATCTGTTGCCGTCAGAAGGAAATCGCTCTCCCCGTCTCTCTTATCTCTTAAGTAGATATCCGAAAATTGTATCTTTAGCTGGCCATTGACCCGAGGACAGCCTAGACGAGGCTTGCGGAGAATTTCAATTTTTTGGTTAGGCGATGGAGCCTTGTCATAGCTCCTTTCCTAGCTCTCCACCATTATCTTATCGCGGAGCACACTAATGGTGATGGCGGCATTAATGGCACTATCTGGATCGTCTAGCTAGAACTTGATATCTTCTTGGAGCTTGGTGCGACACTCCGACCACGCAACCTCGCCAACGAAAGTTGGCCACTTATGCGATCGGCCATTTGGCATCTCTCTTGGGCTCCAAGAGATGTCGGCTTTCTTGGTTCGGGTCTGCCCACGGACAGTTCTCGTACTTGGGGGGGAGAGAAGGGGGTCGACCACTCTTCTAGCCCAGGCAGAAAAGATGGTGTTAAAAGCTTCGGCGGCAACGGCGTGGGCTGAAGACTCCATTTTTAACAGAGCGGACTGAGAGACATGATCGTAGCTTTCCCATGATAGCATTAGTAGTTTATCTCCAGAATTTACAAAACACTTAAGGAAGGAGCATTCGTCAATGTCCATAATGAAATAAGGGTTATATGCGCATCCGAGTGGAACTTCTTCACATTCCCATCTCTCGGACTCTTGTTCCAAAACCCCAAGACATTGATGGTACCCCTCATATCTGTATCTCCGTGTAGTTGGAGGAAGAACATCTTGAAAGGACATCATTTTCGCAGCTGAAGAGGTAGAAACTCCCAAATGGCCTTAAGCTTGCCGTATATTGTGGGTTCTATTATTAATTATGACTATGATCAGATGACGAGGAATGTGAAGACCGGCATTACTGTCCTAAGTGCTAGAAGTAGAGCAATTGAGAATCATTATTGGAAAGAGAGATCGCCATACTTATAAACCGATCTTTATTTGAACTGTTTTTACGGGGTAGAGCTACAGCCCTACGATTCTCTTCATGTGGGGGATGGACCTGTACATCACCCACAATCTGTGATGATTTTGGTAATAACTACACTTCTTATGATTGGACCAAGGCTAACATATAATTTGTCTTGAGAATTTACCCGCAGGAGATGGTAAGAGTTCGGATATATGTGTGGAGTATCAAAGATATATCTTTGCATATAAACTTCACAAGATAACACAATGAAATGGAACAAAACATTAATTAAGTGCTTAAGGCTAGTATCTACTGAGTTCCAACTATCATTTACCAAGGTAGAAATATTCTCACAGGATATCATTTGCCTCAAGCTTGTAAACGAACAAGCGTCCCACATAGTGGAGCCACACCCCGCAAGATATCGGGGAGAAACAATCGGATGTTAGCATCGGCAGTCATTGCTATATAAGCATTTGGTAATGTAGAAAAATAGTCCTGCTCAGGTGGAATTTTTGATTATATTGCTAGTGATTGGTAGTTCGCATTAAGGCTCAGATACAATATAACAAAAACACCAGTTTATCCATAAGCACTATCCTTGCCCGCCTCCAGCACTGTAGAAAGCACATTCGCAAAAGCCTGTGAAATACCCCAACGTCCACCCCGCTGTAGTAAATCAATCATGCCATACAATTAATCCAAATTCGTAACCACGGATCGCTCACTACTTTGAGCATTCCCAGGAAAACAAGCGACCTCCGCAGCTCCATCACCTAGCAACTTGAACTCCGGCGACCCAAATGCAAACATGAGTTGCTGATCCAGAAGGCAGCCCCGCAAATACCCTGAACGAATCAGCTGCGGATGGAGGCGTGAGTATCGCAGAACTGTCAGCTAATCCTCGTGGGGATACAGTAGTCAGGCTCTCCAGTTGAACACTGTGGCTGCGCTCATGCCGACGCAGGGCATCACTAAAAATGTTAATACAAGATCAAATTCGACTAATATTACTTTATTGACCCTGAATGTGTTATTAAGCTTACTAAAATGCCTGAAAATGGCAAGGAGAATGCATAGTTTCGATGAATGCTGTGTATTTTTTTATAGAGCAGCAACCAAGAATATATCGTGAAAACTAAACAGAAATGTACAGGGAAGAAATCAGATCACAGTCAATAAATAGTCAATAACTACTCACCAACATAGATTACCCCTGTGATCGAGCCTCCGATGTCAGGGAAAATCGCAGTCCTGCAGGACCCGTCCAAATTGGCACTGTACAGAGAGCCTCCAAGGTCGCCGAAAAACATACGGTTATTCTTGAGGTCCAAAGCAAGTCCAATCTCTTCTTGAAGCTTGCGAGCCGGGATCTTTGGTGTCACGTTATTCGTGGACACATCCGTAAGGGCAACTGAATTTACGGTGTTGCCGTGTGGTGGATCACCACGATGAGTCCAGTACAGTGTCCCAGAAGCGTGGTTCAATTCTAAATCGATGGTTCCGGAAGATTTTTTAGAAGAACCTGGATATCTCCGGCCCTTTCGAGATCCATTTGAAAAATTCGTCCTTCGTTTCCCTTCGATAGCCCTCAAAAAGACAGGCTTAGACTCTTCGTCTACAGCAATGCCAACACACCAGTTCTGCACAACCTAGCTATCTATATCGATAACACCAGCCTGGTAATGCATTTCAACATCACTATCATCCATATTTACCCCCATAACTCTCATACTCTCTCGGTCTGACCAGTACAACATTTTTGATTTGAGCGCAATAGTCAGCTCTTTCGGCGTATGTGACTGGTCTGGTGGAATGATCGTCACGATATTGTTACCGGATAAACCGCTGCGTTGTATGGGCCCATCCTTGGCAGAGGGGACTCCCATATTCGTCCAGTGTATGTGCTGGTGACCAGTGTCAATGGCGATTCCGTCGGGCAAACTTCCGATGTTGGTAACCAGCTCGTGGAGACCAGAGCCATCTGATTGGCAAGAATGCCGTCGTTGAGTTCTGGATATGAAATGCCAACGTCGAGGAAATATAGTTGACCTATAGGAGCCGTAGCAAGGGGAGATTGGACCATTTCGAGAGTATATGAAAAGAGATCTAAAGAAATCAGGTGATTAAGCTTTTGTGCAGGAAAGAGTTGACAGGCAAGTTAGTTGGGTAAACCACAGCCTTAAGTACTATTCCATTGTTTTTAAGATGATTGACTGTTATATGGCACGAGCGAGCCGACCAGATTGTCCGATTTCCAGATTTGGTAACTTCTGGAATACAACCGGAAGCCTAGTTAGGATGTTCCGACCTCAGGATACGACGGTCCCTCCGACCCACTCAATTTGGAACCCCGAAAACACTTTAAGCCAAACTATCGGCTTCCCGAGGCTCGGGCTGCTACATCTTAGTAAAACGTCATATAGTCTAACTTGCCACTTCCGTGATGGGGACCAAACAAAATGACCTAGAACAATATGGCAAGCATAGTATACCTAGAATTTCTCCTGTGAAGTATTGGATTTACAATTGAATTTGGACGGGGCTTTTGGCAGACCATACCGAACGCTGTGGTTCCCGGTTTTTGCGGAACTTGGATTATTAATGACCTTAATGCCTACCGAGGTACCTAGGTAGAGGTGCACGTCACCAATCTATCTTATGTTGAGAGTATATAACTGTCTTATGGCCCCTGGAAACATTGAAGTTTGTCCCTCCCTAGCGGCAACTGTTTAATTTGCCCCTGCACTATACCTTTTTTCTTGCCTTACATTACGCCATGCAGCTACGCTAAAGTCGCAAAATGTCGTCCGAAGTAATCAATCAGGTTGCCATTCTTACAGCCAAGGCGGAAAAATTTGACGAAGTAAGTCATATCTTTAACTGGTCTGGCTGACGGACCTATGTCCCTTCTGATCACGGTTGTTGTCATGAGAAGTACTTTCTCTTCCCCCGAATGTGGACTTCTGAACTGATGAGCTTTCGCGTTCTACCTATAGCTTGTTGCCGAATTAGCCAGTATTACCCGGAAGGTGCAAGAGAATGAGCCTGAGACTACTGTATACTATGCCTTCTCCATTGCGGACAAAAATGAAGTCATAGTCGTCGAAAGGTGCGTCCACGCTCTGTCTTCTGTTTTCCTTTTTGTGGCTTAACAATGTTTATTATTGGTCTCTTAACACACTCTCAGATATGAAAACCAGGATGCATTGGAAAGACACCGTGCTGCACCTTACTTCCAGGAACTCATTAGGAAGGCCCCAACCCTATTGGCGAAACCTTTGGAGCTCAAGTCCGGTAGACACTTGCTTCTAGATTCTGCACAAGTCTTCCGCCTGTGATTTGCTATGAGAATGCCTATCTCTTGTAAATAATTTTCTTCACTTTTTGGATATTTTGTTGATTTGGGTCTTGTGTGTACGTGTGACTTGACTCCACACAACTGCGCCCAGCTGCAAACAAGATCAGCCGTAGTTGAATGCATTTCTCAAGCTTAAAGACACTATTCGACCTAAACTGATTATAAACTGTTGCTCTATTAACTGTAGCGTATCGATATTTAGTGCTCACATCCAACGATTGGCTTTATACGGTTCAACTATCAATACATTTTGCGTGTAAGGTCGTTAACCACTAACTTGTAAAATTAAGCGCCCTGACAATCCGTCGTTGAAAACTTCCAAGAAGCTCACGGTAATTAAATATGGCGGTAAATTTAGCTCAAAGCTAGGTTGACAACACTTGCACGTTTTGCTTATTGATATACCAAAGGACATCGCTGTCAACCTTGGGAACGAAGGCCACCGTACTTTGATTTATCACAACACTGCCTACAGTCTAAATGACCCCCACCGATTTTGGATACTGCTAGAACTTTCATAATCAAAGGAAAGAAGCCATTGGTTGTATTGGGCTAGTTTCCAAGAGAGAAGGAAGATCAAATAGGCAAGGAGTAAGGCCTTTATCTTCCCGAGGCAGAAAGGCTGCCTTAACAATAATCATAGGCGGAACCCTCAGCTTTGCTCTTGATCAAGCCAACCAAAAGTTTGTCCCGACTTTTCTCAATCTCTTTCAAGTTGCCCTGCGAAGTCCACTCATCCACTCTCTTTTAAGGACGTCGACATCTTGAGAATCCGCATCAAATTCATGCCGGTGCATGTCATCCAACCGCGTTTTCGACGCCGGCCCCAAGTGGTTCATGAAATGATTAAAGTCTCCACCTCCACCAAGAGTGTTGGCCATGATGGGTCCAGTCAATGCCTAACGACGGCCAAGGCCAGATGTCACAGTTTTGTCTAATAAAGTCAGAGCAAGTCGCACACATCCAATCAAACCAATAATACTAACCAAGGTCTTCAGCTGAGACGACACCCCTCGAGACAAGGCTATATGCCTCGGCACAAACAGCGGCTTGAAGCCGATCCGACAAAGCTCAATGATCTTTGCATGATTGGACGGAGACATTTTAGCCTTTTGTGGGACAAAAGGCTTGGAGCCAATGAAAGAAACTGAAAATAAAAAGGAAAAATACGTTTGGGGTAAAGCCAAGACATCTGGTGCCATTTCTGACCTTCCGAGCTCGGGAGCTTCGAAGTTTCGGAACGGGAAGATCAATATATTTCAAGGATTGTTGGCGAAGAGGTATAGATACTTCGCCACAGTAAGCGTGTTATATTGTCCGACTATAGAAGCTGCATCGAGTATACTTCGTCCTTGCCTTTATTCCAAGTCTTCATTCTTGTTCTTCACAATGCCCCATCAACACAAAACCACACCGAGCACCGATATCTACGGCCCCGGGACGTTCATGGATACAGACTTTACTCCAGCTCCCCAGGATGCTGCTCGGATTTTCGAGTATATTACAAAGAACACTCCCAGGTCACTCAAGACAAAGAGCTTTGGGATGCAGTCAAGTTTTGAGGGTAGCGAGCTACGATCATTCCCGGCCCATTCCCGGCCCTCTTATTACAGCTGCCCTACATGCCATGTGTAGAGTTGTGGCCCACGAAATCGTTGAAGATCGTGACGGCACATTGGCGCGTACCCAGCGGGTTACTGTCAACACTGATCATGCTGGTATTTGGTTGTATACGTAAGTCTTTGTATATCTAAATTTGAACATTATATGATGCATTCGGTATAACAAGAGGGCCTTCATTACTTTAGTGCAATGATCTTTTACTGCTGGATTAGTGATATCAATTCTATTTTTTGACTTAAGGGTTATGCTTTTTCTTGAGTGCTAGGGGTATGTTGGACAAAGATTATTGATTCGAAACGACCATGGCCGTATGTAAACAGAAAAGTAGGATACACTCGTAACTCATTAATCGGGCCCTAGATTGCAGCAACCCTGGGTCCCACACCAAAACGATCCAACGTAAACTTCAGTGTTCAAAACTTTTTCTCAAAGTACTGTTCAACCCGTTCTACGAGATCTGCTTTCTTCCCTGCTGTAGCGCGGCCATGTGAATGCAAGAATTCCTTCAGCACAACCACGGTAAGCTGAACGCGAGTATTAGTATTAGTTTGGTCAAATACCCGAGAGAATTTGAATGCTCACCTTGGAAACAGTGCCCTTCTCGTAGCATTTCTTTACCTCAGCTTCCACTCCAGAGGTGTTGTCTTCAAGCTTCACCCGCTTTGCTGGGTGATCACCAGCAGCCTCCGTCTTTGCACCTCGCTTTACCAGCGTAGAGGTGGCTGCTGACCCACCAAACATCTCGGAGGCCTGTAATTTCAGCTCATCGGCCCATTTAAGAATATAGTCGCCAGCGCGCTGTGGTTGAGCGTGCATTTGGTCAGTAAATTCCGGTAAAGTTCGGGGATCATAGAAGCAGCCAACCTTGTGAACCTGTCGGTACTTAGGCACAGTCTTGTCGTCTGGTGATTCCGGGTAATCTTCGTCCAAGGCGATAGCCTGTAAGATACGATAATGCCATTGAAGTGCTGAAAATTGGTCAGTATCATGCTCAACAAATTGCATTGACAGGGGCTTACAGGGGTTCGGATATTTCGAAGGCTCATATACAGCTTTAGGAAGCTGCAACTGGCGAACAACATCGCGCATAGCGTCATTCAGCGCGTCCCCTGCACGGTGGACGGTGCTCTCTGGATTTTGGCGCACATCGTCTGCGAAAGGAAGAGGGATAATCCACATCCCAAGTGGGATTTTCTGCACACCATTCTCGTCAATCTTCTCAGCCCCAGCAATCATAGCAGCCAAGACTGGTGAGGCATTTTTGCGGGGGATGAACCAAACTAAAGCCAGTTTCTCGGAATCGAGGAGTTTCTGCTGCAGTGCAGAAAAGACCCGTGTTGAGCCAATGTAATCCTCTTCGGAGGGATAGATGAAGGAGGGGTGTTTGACATTGGCCCAAAATGGGAGGGTGGACAGTGGCTTGAATCCAATGATACGGATCACAGGGTCACCGAAGCTCCTTAGAGCCTGTTGTTCTTCGATGGTGAATGAAACCTGCTCACCACCAAACTTGTATGCCTTTCGAACGTCAGTCTTCTCGATCTCCTGACCTGTAGCATCGGACATTAGAGTTGTGACGCCTTTGGCAATCTGGGCAGTTTCGCCTCCTTGCCAGACGAAGCAACTCCTGGCAGGCTCTTGCTTTTTGAGGAGCAAATATCCATTGACGGAGATCTTGAAATCAGGTCCGATCTCAAGGGGTACATTTGAAAACAGCGAGCGGCGGGGGACAGATCTCGAGTTGATGCTAGACAATAGAGAATTGAGCAATGAGAGCCCGTCACCCTTGGCTGTCGATATATTGGTGTCCGGCTGTAGGTATGCAGGGGCATCTCCATCACTGGGCGATGTTTTGTAGATAATGTCCTGCCAATCGTGAGTATACCCCTATATAATCAGGGCTAATAACCTACATCATAGAATTTGGAGGTGTCAAATTCGTGGCCTGGCTGAGAGATGGGAAACAGCTCGATGTTGACACCAAGATCGTACAAGTCCCTTGCGCGGACTGTTGCAGCAGACCGTATTCCCTTATTGTCTGCGTGAGGATTGTCATTGTCGGTCACAACAAACAACCGCCGGGATGAAAAGTTTGGAGCCTTCGAGGTAAAGATTTGGTTGGCGCAGAACAGCATATTAGCCATCGACACTGGCTCCTTTGATGGCTCCAAGACCTGCCGCACGTCATCATCAGCATCTACTGGAGATGCGAGAGACCGCAGTTGCTTGACTTCCTGGGCCGATGGGACATCAAGATCTGTGTAGAGATAACAGTGGGGATATGACAGATCTCCGCGGTCTTCCTCATTTTCATCATAGAACTTGGAAGATTGGGTTCCATAAAGTAAAACGCCAATCATGTCATGAGGGTTGGAGATGATGCGCTGTTGCATCAGATGGTATGCACACTTCAAAGCTGCAGATGCGGGTGATTCGTCGCCATGTTTCTTAGGATCAGGCGATGGACGAGGTGTGAGCATCGAGCTGCTAATGTCTATAGCAAAGAGCACCGCATCTTTCACTGATTTGAAGCTCTATGTAGGCAACAGTCAACAGTCGGTAACTATATCTCCACCTTTTGATACTCACGGTCTCGTCAAGCTCTTCGTCCTCGTAATTATCCTCTTCGCGCGTGTAACTATCTTCAGCCATAGTTGCAAGATAGAGGAACCTTGGGAGAATGAAGAGATTAAAAAGTTGTAAATTAATCAAGTCCAAAGTATGGAGACGCGCTCTTTGACGCGGGCGACACGAAAGTCAGGTGACGCTGATGCCTGAAGCTGCTGACATCCTCCCGCGGTGATTGGTTGACGGCCGGTGGGCGGCGGAAGCTACGTAGAGAAACCAAAACTGGATTCAAACAACTCCGAGGTCCAGGTCGGATATAAGTTAAAATTGTCATTTCCTCATTAGTATTTTTGTACCAATTTTTGGTCTATTCCTACGTATAATATCTCCTCGGCCCAACCATGGCATTCCGCAGCCCTTTCGCGATCCCCCGGCAGCTCTTGACTGGGACCACATCTCTTGGTCGGTCAGCAATTAACAGTCGATTGAGATGCATGACCGATCAACGAGGTCTCGCGACGGTAGTACCGCCAGTCACACAAGATGCGACAGGCTCCAAGGGCCCGACGGCTATGGTTTTTATGAACATGGGTGGACCTTCTACGACGGACGAGGTGGAGGACTTTTTGAGCAGACTATTTGTATGTGTCAAATTGCTACAACTGCCACGTTAAGTTTATATGCTAACACCTTGGATTCCAGGCCGACGGTGATTTGATTCCCCTAGGACGATTCCAATCGTATATCGGCCCCCTCATCGCACGTCGAAGAACCCCAAAGATCCAAAAGCAGTACGCAGATATCGGCGGCGGATCGCCCATTCGGAAATGGTCCGAGTACCAATGTGCAGAAATGTGCAAGGTATTGGATAAGATCTCCCCGGAGACTGCGCCGCATAAGCCTTACGTTGCCTTCCGCTATGCTGCCCCATTGACCGAGACCATGTATGAGCAGCTTTTCGCCGATGGATTTGGCAATGGCAAGGGGGGACGTGCTGTCGCATTTACACAATACCCCCAGTACTCCTGTTCAACGACCGGCAGTTCCCTTAACGAACTATGGAAGTGGCGTAATCGTCTCGAGGGAAAGCGCGCGAATGGAGGGTCCGAGCCGGCTGGCTCAATCCAATGGAGTGTTATTGACCGTTGGCCCTCTCACGCTGGTCTTGTGGAAGCTTTCGCACAGAATATCGAGGCCCAGCTCAAGACATACCCAGTGGAGAAGCGGGATAAGGTCGTGTTGCTGTTTTCGGCCCATAGCTTACCTATGAGCGTTATCAACCGAGGTAGGCTGACGTCCCCTGATTACTTCCTAGAATTACACTAATTACTCTCTCACACAGGCGACCCCTACCCCGCCGAAGTTGCCGCGACAGTTCATGCCGTAATGCAACGACTCAACTTCAAAAACCCCTACCGCCTGTGCTGGCAATCTCAGGTGGGACCCAAAGCGTGGCTCGGGGCCCAGACTAGCGATACCGTTCAAGAGTATGTGAAACGAGGACAGACGGATTTGATCCTAGTTCCCATTGCATTTACAAGTGACCATATTGAGACACTATATGAGTTGGATCAGGAAGTCATCCATGAAGCCAACAACCCGGGTGTCAAGCGTGCAGAGAGCTTGAACGGAAGCCCAGTCTTCATCCAGGCACTTGCCGATATTGCTCGCGACCACTTGCGAAAGGGAGAATTGTGTTCTCGCCAGATGACCCTGCGTTGCCAGGGTTGCACCAGCGAGCGATGCTTGGGCCAGAAGAAATTCTTTGCAGGCCAAGAAAATGCTTCTATGGTGATATAAGCTGACAGGGCTTGTATGTGTGTTGTTCAGACTAGGAGAGTTCAGCCTTGGATGTATGTGTACACAGCAGGTATTGGAGGCGTTGTTGGTATAAAATTTCGTGGCTACTGTAGGTAATATATTTTCAATTCTATACGGAGCACGATATATATATACTCTGTGCCGTCAGAATGACACCTTAATATAACCAAGCTAAGTCCGTGCGGGGATTCCGGAGCAAGGGGTTGCCAATGATCGAATCCCGATAAGAATTCAAGGGATCCTCCACTAACGATTCCCCCCTCTTTCATATGAGAATGAGTCCGTTTGAATCTTACAAATCAACTATGCGATAAACTTGGAATCTTGGACAACTTTGGAATCACCGCCAATGTCACCGACTTTGCCATGGAGAACGAAGAACTCTTTGCGGGGGAGCCCGATATTGCATCGATGCACACCCCAGTGACTCCTCGTACTGAATATGTCAACGAAACCACTCCTCTAATTGATGAGACCGATGGGCTATTGCATCAACAGCCAACTTACCTTACGGATGATCGGCCAAAATGGAGGAGACCGAGCGTGAGTGACTATGAGGTTTGCAACAAAAGCATCAGGAACAACTGTCTGACCTGTAAACATGACAGATTTGGTGGCTGCTCCCATTCGGGGTCCTTTTTACACTGGGCTTTGGTGGAATGGCTGTGCCCAAGATCAACTTGATCATGTCGCTCATCTGTCGGGATTACCTCGCCGAGAAGATCACCCAAGACCCCAGCTTCACCTATCTCCCTGTTATATTCGGCGAGCACAACCCCCAGTGCCAGATCCCACAAGTTCAATCACTGGTTGCCCAGTTCCAGCTCTATCTCAATCTTATTGCAGGTATTCTATCAGCATTAGTGAGTCCCCGGTTCGGACACTTATCTGATCGTTACGGAAGAACCAAGATGATCGCGCTGGGCGCGATGGGTGCGGTACTCAATGAGATTATCACAGTCATTGTGGCTAAATGGCCTGACCGGGTCTCGGTCAATATGCTTTTGCTTGGAGCCGTTATGGATGGACTGGGTGGATCATTTACAACCGCACAGGCTTTGATCCATTCCTATGCATCTGATTGTACCCCGGCCGAAAAACGAAGCGTTGCATTTGGGTTATTCCACGGGGCTCTGTTCTTTGGAATCGCAGCTGGACCTGGCGGTGCAGCATTTTTGATCAAGCATGGAGGCACGCTGGTCGTCTTCTACATTGCACTCGCATTCCATGCAACTTTCTGTCTATCGGTCTTCTTCATCGTACCTGAATCTTTGTCCAAGGATCGACAACTCGCGGCACGCGAGAAGCATCGCATCAAAATTGTGGATGCTGACCCTCCTAAATGGTACTCTTGGCGTGTCTGGAACCCAATGAACCTGATCACCCCGCTTGCAATTCTGATGCCCGCCGTTGGAAAGCCAAGTGTCTTATTCCCTAACCGTCGCGGTGCCAGTCCGGCTCTCCGCCGGAATATCATGCTGCTGGCTGCTATCGATACCGCTGTCTTTGGAGTTGCCCTGGGCACAGTACAAGTTATCATCATCTACGCCGAATACATGTTCAGCTGGGGCAGCGTGGAGTCCAGTCTGTTTGTAGCGACGATTAATGTGGTGCGAGTGGTCAATCTTTTCCTGGTGCTTCCACTCATCTCTCGGTTCTTCCGCACCCCGTGCAAGGAAGACGGAACCATTCGCGGCTCAGACACGCTGGACGTTGTTCTAATCCGTACATCCATAATATTCGATATATTGGGCTACATTGGCTATGCCCTGTCCAAAGCACCATCAGTCATGGTGATTTCTGGTGTCGTTGCCTCGCTAGGTGGCATGGGATCTGCGATCCTGCAGTCATCCCTAACCAAGCATGTGCCGAATGAACGCATTGGACAGATGCTCGGCGCCACTGGTCTTTTGCATGCTCTTGCTCGAGTTGTTGCACCTACTGTCTTCAACTTAATCTACAGTCTGACTGTTGCAACCTTACCTCAGACTGTGTTTGTGGCACTTGCAGCTGTTTTTGGTGTAGCATTCTTTATGAGTTTGCTAATCAGACCGCATGGTATGTTCATTTCCCCGAGCTGTTACAAGAAGTATACTAATTGTTGTGCCAGTTACCCTAGAGGGTGGATCCCCTGTCGATCTAAGAGCGGAAGAAGACGCCGACGAGCATGACAGGCTTTTGCTATAACAGACGATTCTTTGAGCTAATAAGTTGCACTTCCTTAGATATGCTATATGTCTGCTCGGTTGGCGTCTGGCCCAACGGAACATGTTCCACATGATGAAATAGACGTTTTCTTTTTCTACTTCAGAGAACTCTTGTAGACATATGTATGTAGCTGTTAGGCATCTAGATGGGATTCTAGAAAAAAAACTATAAAGCTATTGGAGAAGCACATTGACAGATCATCTCGATAGTCCTGCAGTAACTGTAGAGTATGTCAACTTTCTTTAATATGGTTTTTTCCCCAAGATATTTTTGATATCTTGTACGGGTGGACACGAGGATGTATCCGGTTAGATCCATGGGTCGTATGACCCGGTCAGGCTCCGGCGCGCGGCACCAACCTAACGCGCAAGTTGACTTGCATCGGGAAAAAAGAAGTTGCTCCGAAGTTACCCTACTCTCTCAGCTTCAATTGCCTGTGCACTTAATCTTGGATCATAGCTGGTGCTTAGAGCTATTCGTGTTCCTTTATCCCACTTATCTTCTCATTCCGGAACATTGGTGCGAGACCGCTCATGCACGACTGGTGAACTCGCGCGCAACCCGCGCTCAGCACCCTGCAAAATGCTTGCCCGCGCCGCAAAATCCGGCTCGATAGTCCCATCTCCAAATGCTCTCCGAGTGCTCCGCCAATTGGCCCTGGCTGGCTCAACAGTTGGTGGATTCTGCACCGTCGCAGCCCTTACGTACGAAGCCCATCGCCGGGTCCGCATCGCCGAGAAGATCATCGAGAACAAACGAACATTACACAGTACCGCGCCGAATTATGATGCAACCTCTGCTGCCAAAAGACTCAAGGTCATGGTTGAGGCGGCGGAGGCCGGCGAATTCATGGGCATTGAGTCCCTCAAAGCGAGGAATCGGAACGTACCTGACGGGCCAGATGAGCCAGGGTTCGGAACAGAAAAACCCGGTCCAAAGCCCAAGCCCAAGCCCCTGGTCAGCTTAGAAAAACACCATGCTCGCTCAAAACGGTCGCTCTTTGGGACCCATCCAATTGCACAATCCCACTATACGGGAAACATCGATGCTCCAAGCCTGGCTCAGAACGCCGAAATTCTGGCTCGTGAGAAACAGCAGGGCGAAATTGCACGAGAATCCGGCAAGCTTCCCTTCGATGCCGAAATCCGCAAATTGTTAAATCAAGACCGGGAAATCACTGCTGCGAATTTGTTCTTGGCGCACACTCGGCAGACACCTATCATTTCCTGGGAACGCAGAGAGCTTGCATGTATCATATTCACTGCCAACTGCATCAAAGGAAACCTGTTCGTTGCTCGAACTTTGTTCAACCGCATGGACAAAGTCAGTGTGGTCTCGGGGGAGATGTGGGCTACGCTGATGCATCTGCTTGCGAAAGAGGGTCACATCGACTCTGTTGGCGTTATATATGATAAATTCAGAACCAGCTTTGCTGTTCCAACCCATCTGTTAGAGGTCATCCTCCGATGCCTGATCGAGTCTAAACGATTGGACTCCGCCAAATACCTCTTCTTCCAGCGCTTCGAGGATGACCGTGACTGTGGTTTGTGTGGTGCTTATCTTGATGGATTATGGAGGAAGACTAGGAGCATGGAGTTGCTGTCTTCCCAACTCGGCCTCATTCTCAAGCGTCTCGAATCGCTCGATCGGAAACCAACCGAGAAACTTTTCAACCCAATGGTCAAGGCCATGGTTGAAACTGGTCGAGCCGAAGAAGCCGAAGCTATGGTCAAGGCAATGTCAACACAATATGGGACCGAACCTGGATGCCGGACCATTGGCTTGATTATCTACAACAGAGCACTTAACTGTGAATGGGACAGGGTCATGGATGGCATGCGTGCTATGCACGAGCACGGATACACCGAATCAAAGAAAGATTTCACTATGATTTTCGATCGCGTATTCTTGGAATACTATCCCACCCACACGGGCCAGCAAATCCTCGACTTCGTCATCGCCTGTATCAACGATTTTGACATACAACCCGACAAGGTACTCCACCGACACATTCTCGAAGCAATCATTGAAAAGGGCAACGAAGATATGATGACAACCATTATGGAGATGGCCCACGATCAGAATTGGAATACCGGCATTGACGACGGGTTTATCAAGTCACTGGTGAAGAGCCGAAAACTCGCAATGACTGACAACCCGGTGGGAATCTGGCGGCTGAAGCAAGCCGCCAAGAATAGACAAGATCATTTAACTTCTTCCCGGCGCATCCTTGGGTCGAGTTCTGACACCTGGGCAGTACGAGGAGATAAAATTGCCCCGATTCATATTCCCGCCGAGGAATCCTTCCCTCGGACGGTAAGCGAGATGGTGGCCTCCAAAAATGCCAGTTTATACGTTCCGCTCCACAAACGGATGGAGCACTTTATCAACATGGGTAGGCACTCCGATGCTCTGGCAATTTACAATCATGCGACCACTGGCGGTTATGTTGTCCGACCGCTTCACCTGAAGCTAGCTGTGATCGCCGCGATTCTCAGTTGCAAAAAGACAGGCTTGGCGAACGCGCGACGTCTGATTACCTCCGAATGGGATTACTGGAAGAATGTTCCTGCTCTTCGTTATAGCAAGCGCTTCACTTCATGGACTCCTATCTTCTTCCAACGGGTCATGGAGTTAGACCCAGAAGCCGTTGGGTACGGAGGCTTGATCAAGATGGCTATCTTGGAATATTACGATATTTGTGCCAACACCAATGGTCTTTTGGTGAAACACTTCTGCGCGACCTCTTCCAGCCGTTACCTCATTGGAGG